CCCCCCCCCCCCCCCCCCCGTCCGGTAGCCTGATCTGGATTCTAGAACCCAAAGGAACCCCACTTTTATCACTAAGGCCCCGGTTCTTATACTCGAAAGCCGCCTTGGCCACGAGGTCCTCCTGAGAAAACCCGGCGAGTTCCAAGTCCTTCGATTCCTGCAATGGAGCCGCCAGAAAGACCTTGGAACTACAGGGTTTTATATTGATTTTGGGAAGCTTGTTTTTTCCTGTGTTTTTCGTGATGTGTAAGAAAAATTATAGGGTTTTCGGTGGTTGGATAACGGTTTATACGGTTTTAACTTAGTGGAACCTTGCAAGGGATTAGGCTTCTTTCTAAGGGTTTCAGACAGGGTTCTTTAAGGGTTCCTTATAAAGGATCTTAAAGATCTTACAGGCTTCTTTAAGGGTCCCTTTACAAGATTCCTGTCAGGGTCTCCACATGGGTCACCACATCAGGTTCCTAAAAGGGTATCTATAGATGGAAGAGCCAGACGGACGTAGGGGTTTGGGGAAATAGGACTTAAGTCTTAGGGCAGCGCATACTACAATTTCAATAATGGTCTTATTGAGGGTTTTTTACACCCAGTACCCTGGCCCAAGCACTTTTCTTTTAGTAGGGGTTTAGTATACCAAAAAACACTAAACCCTAAACCCTGAACCCTAAATCCTTAACTGGAGTTCGAAGTTGGGCTGAAGGGGGGGATTTAGGTTTGGGGGAACCCGCGCCTTTCTCATGTCATGAAAGGAAATCAATAACGACTCCTGTACCCAAAACTCTAAGCCGGAAGCCGAAAATGTTAAATTCCGGGAACCCTAAACCCTAACCCTGTAGTATTAAGGTCCAACAAGAATACTCTAAGCCGGAAGACGAAAATGATTGTTAAATTCAGGGAAACCCTAAACCCCCAAACCAAGACCCCTGAACCCTGAACCGTAACCATGTAGTATTAATCCCTAACCCCTAAACCCTAAACCCTTAACACTGTAGCATTAAGGTCCAACAAGAATACTCCTAGACCCCTCACAGCCTCGTAAACCCGAGACTGGTAACAAAGCCTCCTCTTTCAATCCAAGGGGCGGTTTAGAGTTTAGGGTTTAGGGGTTTGGGGGTTTGGGGGTTTGGGGGTTTGAGGGTTACCCCAAACCCTAAACCCTAAACCCTAAACCCTAAACCCTAAAGCCTAAACAGGGTTTGGGATT